GGATGCGCCGGGATAATTATTTAAAATATCATATCTTTAAATTTTGTATTTTTTTTAATTTTAAGATATAATATTCATTTTCACTTCACTGACTTAGGTAGTCTTTCGTTTTGAACGTTTCATTACCCACCTCTAGAGTACGAAAAAATAGGTCTCTCGTTTTCGTCCGTCTGTCTCTTTGTCGTCTGTCTGGATTTTTATTAGACATATAATCTCCTAAACTACTGGACTGATTGTTGTCAAATTTTATATGTATATTAAGAATATCATGTAGATGGTAATAAAATATGCCCTCCTCCTTCCCAGAATTAATGATGTCATCTTGCAATTTTGTCAAATAAAGGTTTTTTAAATGTTAAAAAGTAGCATAGTCCGGAACTTGTGGTTTATGAAACAGGGTTGAATTTTATCCTAGAAATCGAGATTTTTGGAAAAAAGAGTAAACATTTTTGGATTTCTCAGTTTTTTGATATTTTAGTTTTAGGTTTTTTTCAGTTTTTTGATTATTCAATTTTTCGGTTTTTCTTTTATCAATTTCTCGATTTTTTAAATTTCCGAGTTCTCATTTTTTTATTTTTAGATTTCTCGATTAATCCATTTTTCGACTTTTCGACTTCTCCATTTTTGATATTCCTATTTCACGATTTCTGGACTTTTCAGTTTTTTAGTTCCTCAATTTTTCAACTTTTTGATTACGTATTTGATTTTTCAGTTTTTCGATTTCCAAAATTTTCGACGTTTCAGTTTTGGGATTTTTCGATTGTTCAGTTTTTCGATTTTTTGATGTTTCGATTTCTTGGTTTATCAATTTTTGTATTCTTTAATTTTTCGATCTTTCGTCTTCTAGATGGTTCTGTTCTTCGATTTCACTGATTTTCAAGTTATTGATATTTGAGGTTTAGGTTTTTTGACTTTTCGCTTTTTTGAGAGATTCTTCATTTACCGATTTTTTGATATTTCGATTTGATATTTAAAACGTTTTGATTCTCCATTTTGTCAATGTTTTATTCCTTCAAATTTTCCGTTTTTCCAATTTTGTAATTTTCGACTTTCGTTTTTCAAAATCTGGATTTCTCAATTTTTCAATTCTTCTATTTTTGGATTTTACATTGTTTGGATTTTTCAGGTTAAATTTTTCATTTTTTTGATTTTTTTTTAATTTTAGGTTTTTCTACTTTTCCATTTTTCAACTTTTCGATCTCTCGATTTTTCAGTTTTTCGATTTTTTAATTTTTAGAGGTTTCAGTTTTCGGATTTTTTAAATTTTGGACTTTTAATATTCTCGATTTTTCAATTTTTCGATTGCTCGATTTTTCAGTTGTTTGATTATTTAATTTCTCGAAACTTTAATTTCTCGTTGTCTGTGTCCTTTTTGAAAGTTTAGATTTCTCATTCTTGGATTTTTCAATTTCTCGATTTTTCAATTTTGCATTACTTTAATTTTTCGATATTTTAAATTTTACATTTTGTGGATTTCTCTTTTTACAGTTTTTCGATTTTTATAATTTTAAATTTTTCAAATTTTGTAATTTTAGATTTTTAAATTATCTAATTCTCGATCTTTTGATTTTTCGACTTCTCGGTTTTTGATTTTTCAGTTTTTCAGTTTTTCGATTTTGTAAATATTTGATTTTTCGAATTTTCAATTTTTCGATCTCTCTCTTTCTAGACTTTTTCATGTTCTGATTTGTCCAAGTTTCAATTTTTCAATGATTTAAATTTTCGGTTTTTCGATTTTTAAATTTTTCCAATTTTTCGTTGTTTCGATTTTTCAATTTTTCGACATTTCATGTCATTTTATCTGTTGTTGAATTTTTCGATTTTTCAGTTTTGATTTTATAAATGTTATATTTTTCGAATTCTGGATTTCTTGTTTTTTTGACTTTTCAGTTTTTCGGTGTTTGAATTCTTGGATTTCTTAAATTTTCCATTTTCCATTTTTTAGTTTTTTCTGTTTCAATTTCCCGAATTTAAAATGTTTTTAAACTTCAGTTTTACGATGTTTGTTCTCCTGACATCTTAGTTTTTCCATTAAAAAAAAATTGGGTTTTCTATTTCTAAAATTTTACTTTTTTCGATTTTGCAATTATTCGATTTTTTTATTTTTCGATTTATCGATTTTTAGATTTTTGGATATTTCTAATATTTCGTTGTTTCGATTTTTCAGTTTTTAGACATTTGAGTTTTGGGATTTTTGAATTTATCTGTTCTCCATTTTTTCGATTTTTCTGTTTCGATTTTATAAATTTAATTATTTTTCGAATTCTGAATTTCTGGTTTTTTGAATTTCTGGTTTTTTGATTTTTCAGTTTTTCGGTTTTTCAATTCTTGGATTTCTTAAATTTTACATTTCCCATTTTCAGTTTTTTGATGTTTCAGTTTCCTGAATTAAATTTTTTTTTCATTTCCTTTTTTCGATTTTTCGAATTTCTGTTTTCCCGACATCTTGATTTTTCCATTTTTAAATTTTTTGGATTTTTCTATTTCTCACATCTAACATTCTTCGATTTTACTTACGATTTTTTTTTAATGTTGCGATATCTCGATTTTTCAAGTTTTTGATTTCTCATATTTCCATTTTTTAAATTTTAGTTTTTCAATTATTCAATGTTTGGATATTTCGGTTTTTCAGTTTTTCGATTTCTCGAATTTGATTTTTGAGTTTTTCGAATTTTGAAATAGCTATTTGTGCAATAAGGTAGGAAAAGTGACATTTTTCCACATTCTAGACATGAGATTTTTGATCGAGACGAAGTCGAGATCAAAAACATGTCGTGAATGTGGAAAGACACTTTTCCTATCAAATTGCACACAAGATTTTGTAAAATTAGGTAAAAAGACTCTTCATTATAAATTTAATTGAATAATAAAGTATCAAGTCCCTTTTAATGCAATAAATTTGTTGTCATGGAAAATACAAACAAACAACGCAACATTTTGTAATTTTCTAATTCTCGATCTTTTGATTTTTCGACTTCTCGGTTTTAGATTTTTCAGTTTTTCAGTTTTTCGATTTTGTAAATATTTGATTTTTCGAATTTTCAATTTTTCGATCTCTCTCTTTCTAGACTTTTTCATGTTCTGATTTGTCCAAGTTTCAATTTTTCAATGATTTAAATTTTCGGTTTTTCGATTTTCAAATTTTTCCAATTTTTCGTTGTTTCGATTTTTCAATTTTTCGACATTTCATGCCATTTTATCTGTTGTTGAATTTTTCGATTTTTCAGTTTTGATTTTATAAATGTTATATTTTTCGAATTCTGGATTTCTTGTTTTTTTGACTTTTCAGTTTTTCGGTGTTTGAATTGTTGAATTTCTTAAATTTTCCATTTTCCATTTTTTGTTTTTTTTTCTGTTTCAATTTCCCGAATTTTAATTTTTTTTAAACTTCAGTTTTACGATGTTTGTTCTCCCGACATCTTAGTTTTTCCATTAAAAAAAATTTGGGTTTTCTATTTCTAAAATTTTACATTTTTCGATTTTTCAATTATTCGATTTTTTTATTTTTCGGTTTATCGATTTTTAGATTTTTGGATTTTTCTAATATTTCGTTGTTTCGATTTTTCAGTTTTTAGACATTTGAGTTTTGGGATTTTTGATTTTATCTGTTCTCCAATTTTTCGATTTTTCAGTTTCGATTTTATAAATTTAATTATTTTTCGAATTCTGAATTTCTGGTTTTTTGATTTTTCAGTTTTTCGGTTTTTCAATTCTTGGATTTCTTAAATTTTACATTTCCCATTTTCAGTTTTTTGATGTTTCAGTTTCCCGAATTAAATTTTTTTTTCATTTTCGTTTTTGGATTTTTCGAATTTCTGTTTTCCCGACATCTTGAGTTTTTCTATTTCTCACATCTAACATTCTTCGATTTTACGATTTTTTTAAATGTTGCGATATCTCGATTTTTCAAGTCTTTGATTTCTCATATTTCCATTTTTTAAATTTTAGTTTTTTCAATTATTCAATGTTTGGATATTTCGGTTTTTCAGTTTTTCGATTTCTCGAATTTGATTTTTGAGTTTTTCGAATTTTGAAAAGCATTTTTTCCTGTTGGTCATCTGCTTTAAATATATTTCAGTTTATCGGCAATTCGTTTTTAGTTGAGAATTACCAGAAAACAAAAGTCGCACATTTTTTTTATAATTTTTCAAAAAAGCTGGATTTGTTAAGCTGAATTTCAGGGGCGAAATAATTCCTTTCAAAATAACCTTCACCAATTTTTTCTATATACAATAATCGTATACGGTGAGAAATTTTCAATATCGGATAAAGTATTGACGGGTGGGATATAAATCCACCGAACTACGACCTTTTGTGTCGTATCGGCTCATAATTGAACCTGAAGTCCCTCGTGTTCGTTTTTGAGCATTGTGCAGCGTATAATTTCGCCGCGTTAATAACAGAAAATAGAAGCAACTTGCACGCCAACAAGGTGATTTAATTTCCAAAGCGAATTGTTCAAGTTTGCACCTGCACATCGCATCTAATTTCACCTTTCCAGCGTCGTTTTATCGCGCCATCGCAAATTAAGTGCGCTTTCGAGCACGAGCCGTCCTTTGTTAAAATGCAAACGTGCAACACTTCGCACGAGCTGTCATTACATCCGTCATTTATCGTCCTTCATTCAGCCATTTACCCCACCCAAAACGAACAATCCGCCGCTTCCGTCGAAATTTTCGTTTAATCTTTCCCGCTCCAAATTTACGATCAATATAATTCAGCACCCCAGCACTATAATGCGCGATTGTGCGATTGCGTTATCAGATTAGCAACAATGTAGCGGTAATAATATTTTATAGTGCGGTCCGAATGGCTGCCGCAACGTTTTTACTTTATACGAGCAAAAATCTCATTCTCTTTGCATATTTCGTTGCGCGGAAATTAAACTATAAAGCATGTTCTGTGCCCGAAACGCCGCTCGAATGATAAGGAGCGTCGAAAATTCGATCATCTCGAACCGATTCTTGTCCCAGTTGGTAAAAGCAGCTTTCGTTTTGCAGGGCCGCCTGCTGGGGAAAGTGGATGCCTACTTCAGTTCGTTCCGCAGATGCAACTATCCCCGAGTGAGTCCGCAGGGGGTAGTCGAAATAGTGCAGGAATGTGGACGGTATTCAAAGTACGTATTTGCATTTTTTTCGCAGGATTTCTCGTACGTGGCCGGAGCGACGGCCGCCACGAGAATAACAAGTTGGGTGTTTATGGGGTTTCTAATGGCGGACGGACACGGGGTTGAAGCAGGAGAACTGAGGGCGATGTTTGGAGGTTTAAGGGCGTGCTGCCGTGAAACCCACAAGAAATACCAACATAACAAATTATTACTCCTCTAGATTTATATTTACTGCGATCATTTAAAGGGTGTTCTACGTGGAATAACGTATTTTACACAAATATTTACATAACAAAACAAAACAAGGACGAATTCAAAGAAAGATGAAATCCCTGTTTTCGACCGATTTGACCAAATTTAATTTTTTTACAAAGTAGTGCTTTTTCCTCTATTTGAATGGATATTGGGAAAATAAGCACAGAGTCGTGTTCCTGGTGAAATGTTGAATAAGTATGGTACTTTTGCCAGCGATTTGAATGATTTTAATTTTCACTTAAAAATGGTGGAGGCGCCGGGCAAAAAATTCAATTATATTTATTCGGATAATTTTAAAGATATTGTACATAAAACGATGTATTTGAGTAAAACTGAAGCATGTTTTAAAATATTTTGGGATTTCAACAAAATAACAAACCAAGAATAAATTTTACCCAAGATAAAATTCCCATTTTTTATCGATTTAATCCGCTTTTTTTTCTCTCTTCGAGTAGATATACCGAAAATAAACACAGGATCGTGTTCCCTGGAAAATTTCTAATAACTATATGTTTTGCAACCTATTTGACAGATTTTAATTTTCCCTTAAAAATGGTGGAGGCGCCGGGATAATGAATTTATATTTATGTATTTGGATAATTTTAAAGATATTCCACATACATACAACGATGGATTTGAGTAGAACTTGAGCATTTTAAAAATATTTTGATATTTTAACAAAATTACTAAACAAGAATAAAATTTACCCAAGAAAAATCTTTTACCGATTTGACATTTTTTTTTTAAGAAATTGTGTTTCTCAGAAAATTTTTAGTAAGGATCGTTCGTGGAACAGATATGAGCTGTGTCGGGATAATAAATTATTTCAATTATATAGGGTGTTCAAAAATTGCACACAAGCTCTACGACATGTTCAGGACCGTTTATGAATCGGAGAAAAAAAATTGTTTTACCAAAATCTTTAATTTATTTTCGAAGTTTTACCATGTTTTAATTCACTATTTTGGGTACGGAAGATCGATCGGACTTTCATTTTTCAAAATAATTTTGGAGGTATCTTGCCTTTATTAATTGTTTGCTTCACTTTAAAATATAACAAGGAACTTAGAAATTGTTTTATTATTTTCTTGGAAGATATGTCATTTGCCAGAACGACTAATTTTATTTCTGTTCAGTACAAGATCATTCAGATCGAATAAAATTAATAACTGAAAAGAAAACAGGGTGGGTGGGCGGGGCTAATTTTGTTGTTGTGTCGAGTAGGACTGGAAAGTAATCATAGAATCTAGAAATTTATACACATAATATTTGAAAAATGGTCGAAAATATCAAAAGTGCCAAAATCACTCTTATCTTATCAAATAGTAGCCCCGCCCACCCGCCCTCTATTTTCTTGAAAGATATGTCATTTGCCAAAACGAATAATTTTATTTCTGTTCAGTACAAGATCATTCACATTGGATAAAATTAATCACTGAAAAGAAGACAGGGTGGGTGGGCGGGGCTAATTTTGTTCTTTTGTCCAGTGGGACTGGAAAGTAATAATAGAATCTAGGAATTTATACACATGTTATTTGAAAAATTGTCGAAAATGTCAAAAGTGCCAACATCACTCTTATCTTATCAAATACTAGCCCCGCCCACCCGCCCTCTATTTTTTGGAAGATGTGTCATTTGCCAAAACGACTAATTTTATTTCTGTTCAGTACAAGATCATTCACATTGGATAAAATTAATCACTGAAAAGAAGACAGGGTGGGTGGGCGGGGCTAATTTTGTTCTTTTGTCCAATGGGACTGGAAAGTAATAATAGAATCTAGGAATTTATACACATGTTATTTGAAAAATTGTCGAAAATGTCAAAAGTACCAAAATCATTCTTATCTTATCAAATACTAGCCCCGCCCACCCACCCTCTATTTTTTTGGAAGATATGTCATTTGCCCAAACGATTAATTTTATTTCTGTTCAGTACAAGATCATTCAGATTGGATAAAATTAATCACTGAAAAAAAGACGGGGTGGGTGGGCGGGGCTAATTTTGTTCTTTTGTCCAGTAGCACTGGAAAGTAATAATAGAATCTAGGAATTTATACACATAATATATCAAAAATTGTCGAAAATGACAAAAGTGCCAAAATCACTCTTATCTTATCAAATACTAGCCCCGCCCACCCGCCCTCTATTTTTTGGAAGATGTGTCATTTGCCAAAACGACTAATTTTATTTCTGTTCAGTACAAGATCATTCAGATTGGATAAAATTAATCACTGAAAAGAAGACAGGGTGGGTGGGCGGGGCTAATTTTGTTCTTTTGTCCAGTGGGACTGGAAAGTAATAATGGAATCTAGGAATTTATACACATGTTATTTGAAAAATTGTCGAAAATGTCAAAAGTACCAAAATCATTCTTATCTTATCAAATACTAGCCCCGCCCACCCACCCTCTATTTTTTTGGAAGATATGTCATTTGCTAAAACGATTAATTTTATTTCTGTTCAGTACAAGATCATTCAGATTGGATAAAATTAATCACTGAAAAAAAGACAGGGTGGGTGGGCGGGGCTAATTTTGTTCTTTTGTCCAGTGGGACTGGAAAGTAATAATAGAATCTAGGAATTTATACACATGTTATTTGAAAAATTGTCGAAAATGTCAAAAGTGCCAAAATCACTCTTATCTTATCAAATACTAGCCCCGCCCACCCGCCCTCTATTTTTTGGAAGATGTGTCATTTGCCAAAACGACTAATTTTATTTCTGTTCAGTACAAGATCATTCAGATTGGATAAAATTAATCACTAAAAAGAAGACAGGGTGGGTGGGCGGGGCTAATTTTGTTCTTTTGTCCAGTAGCACTGGAAAGTAATAATAGAATCTAGGAATTTATACACATAATATTTCAAAAATTGTCGAAAATGTCAAAAGTGCCAAAATCACTCTTATATTATCAAATACTAGCCCCGCCCACCCGCCCTCTATTTTCTTGAAAGATATGTCATTTGCCAAAACGACTAATTTTATTTCTGTTCAGTACAAGATCATTCACATTGGATAAAATTAATCACTGAAAAGAAGACAGGGTGGGTGGGCGGGGCTAATTTTGTTCTTTTGTCCAGTGGGACTGGAAAGTAATAATAGAATCTAGGAATTTATACACATGTTATTTGAAAAATTGTCGAAAATGTCAAAAGTGCCAAAATCACTGTTATCTTATCAAATACTAGCCCCGCCCACCCGCCCTCTATTTTTTTGGAAGATATGTCATTTGCCAAAACGACTAATTTTATTTCTGTTCAGTACAAGATCATTCACATTGGATAAAATTAATCACTGAAAAGAAGACAGGGTGGGTGGGCGGGGCTAATTTTGTTCTTTTGTCCAGTAGCACTGGAAAGTAATAATAGAATCTAGGAATTTATACACATAATATTTGAAAAATAGTCGAAAATGTCAAAAGTGCCAAAATCACTCTTATCTTATTGTTCAGGACCGTTTGTGGATCAGAGAAAAAAAAATGTTTTGTCCAAAGTGTTTAATTTATATTCGAAGTATTACCACATTTCAATTCATTATTTTGGGTACGTAAGATCGATCGGACTTTCATTTTTCAAAATAATTTTGGAGGTATCTTGCCTTTATTAATTGTTTGCCTCACTTTAAAATATAACAAGGAACTTAGAAATTATTCAGGATGAATCTGACAACAGTAAATTTCACGTTTTTTAATCTATTTAGCTAAATCGATATTTTGTTTTTGTTAGTGAAGATCAAATTAACGCAAAGAATTTTTCAAGATTTTTTCGAACTTAAACTTATCAATTTAATAATCATAGAATGTATTCTACAAGAAATTGTGCATTTTTTTAATATGTTGATACTTCAGCAAATCAACAATACAAAATCAACTTTTACCGGAGTTAAAATTCTCGTTTTCTTTTTGGATCGGTTTGACTTTTTAAACTTGTTTTTACATAAAATGCGATTTTTTCCGTTATTTGAGTAAAAACAGTGAAAATAAGTACAGAATCGTATTCCTGAGAAAATTGATAACAAGGATGGTCCCTCCTGGAACAAATATCACTAATTTTAATTTTCATATAAAACTGGTGGAGGCGCCGGGATAATAAATTATTTCGATTGTATTTATTGGGATAATTTTAAGAATGTTCTATATTAGGTAATGTATATATTTTAAAAGGAATTGTGAATTTTTTAATATCTTGATCAACAAATTAACAGTGCAAGAATGAGTTTTACTCAAGATAAAATTCCTGTTTTTACCGATTTGATCATTTTTTTTTAGAAAAAAAAAATAGCCCTTTTTCCGTTATTTGAGTAAATATGATGAAAATAAGTACAGAATCGTATTCTTGAGAAAACTGATAGCAAGGCTAATCCCTCCTAGAACAAAAATTACTGATTTTAATTTTCATTAAAAATGGTGAACGCGCCGGAATAATAAATTACTCCTATTTCAATTGTGTTTATTGGGATAATTTTAAGGATGTTCTATATTAAGTAACGTGTTTTAGAAGAAATTGTGCATTTTTAAATATCTTGATGGTTCAACAAATTAACAGTACAAGAATAAACTTTACCCAAGATAAAATTCCCGTTTTTGTCCGATTTGACCAAACTTTTTTTACAAAGGATCGCACTTTCTTCCATTATTTGAATAAATATGGTGAAAATAAGTACAAAGTCGTATTCCTGAGAAAATTGATAACAAGGATGATCCCTCCTGGAACAAATATTATTAATTTTAATTTTGATAAAAAAATGGTGGAGGC